TTGCCCTAGGACAGTGATGGCAAACCTTTTGAGCTCGGCGTGTCAGCATTTTGAAACACCCTAACTTAACTCTGGTGCCCTGTCACATATAGAAATTTTTTGATATTTGCAACCATAGTAAAACAAAGATTTATATTCTTTATATTTATTTTATATATTTAAATGTCATTTAACAAAGAAAAATCAACAAAAAAATGAGTTCGCGTGTCACCTCTGACACGTGTGTCATAGGTTCGCCATCACTGCCCTAGGAGCTGTGTCGGTAAAGATACGGGGACAATTCTTGAACTTCATCTATACTTCCGATTCATTGATCCTTCCACTTTCTGCCTATCTGTATCCCCTAATCCAATTAGGAATGCACGTCATAGTTTATCATTATGATCTTGTCCTTGAAAATAGATTATCTCTTGTCTCTCCCTGCCTTTTATTTTTCTGGCAAAACCCACACTCTGGATGAACCCAATCTTTTTGCACCTGCACCTATCTGGATTAACTTTGCTGGGGAAAGTCCTGGATAAATTGATGACACTGTAAAATGAAAATGGTCAACCACTTGAAGATTCACTCAATATGGGCATGAGATCCTTCTTATCCTTCTTATCCTCTGTTTCTGTGGTAAGCCTACTTTCTTTTTCCAATGACAATTCCCTAAACTTTGTGTATACTCTCTTCATCTCTTTCTCATTTTCAGCTGATGAGTTCTTTGTAAGTCAGGTCAGTTCTGCATCTAGTCTGTCAACTTGCAAACTACGGCCCGCGGGCTCCTTGTCCAGAATGGTCAACCACTTGAAGATTCACTCAATATGGGCATGAGATCCTTCTTATCCTTCTTATCCTCTGTTTCTGTGGTAAGCCTACTTTCTTTTTCCAATGACAATTCCCTAAACTTTGTGTATACTCTCTTCATCTCTTTCTCATTTTCAGCTGATGAGTTCTTTGTAAGTCAGGTCAGTTCTGCATCTAGTCTGTCAACTTTTTCCTCCTTCACTATCAGATCCTTGTCCAGATCATCCACATTTCTCACCTAAACCACTTCAGGCCTTGTACCCCTCCAATCACTTCTCTGTTCAGCAGCAAAAAGTGATACTTCCTGACTTAAAATTCTTCAATGAATTCCATTGCACTTGGATCAGCTGATGAGTTCTTTGTAAGTCAGGTCAGTTCTGCATCTAGTCTGTCAACTTTTTCCTCCTTCACTATCAGATCCTTGTCCAGATCATCCACATTTCTCACCTAAACCACTTCAGGCCTTGTACCCCTCCAATCACTTCTCTATTCAGCAGCAAAAGGTGACACTTCCTTACTTAAAATTCTTCAATGAATTCCATTGCACTTAGAATAAAATCCAAATTCCTAACCACGGCCTACAAAAATTCTTGGTTTGGGTTGTATTCTTAAGGACATCTGTCACTCACCCCCTTCCTTTACCTGCTTTTCACATAGCTGGTTCCTTAATCATCAGGTTTCAGAGTATGTCACCACCTGAGACCTTACTAGAACAAACCTATTTGAAACATTCTTTGTAGTTTTCCACGACCTCTAACCCTAAATGTTCTATAACACAGCATGCTTCTTCCTTTGTTTCTCTTATCACAATCTGCAATTACTTGTTTATTTTATTTCTTCCATTAGACCTTAAGTACCTTGAGGGCAGGACCTATGTCTGTTTTGTTCACCACAGGCAGCAAGTACAATGCCAGGCATAGTGAGCACTTGTTACATATTTGTTGAGGGAATGATTAAGGGAACCCTGTGCCAAGTCCAGAGCAAGAGAGAAAAGAGCTTGGCCGGGTCCAGGAACTGAAAGGGGTTGGTATGAGGAGTGGTGAGAAAAGAAGAAGGATCATAAAGGGCACCTTATACCAAGTTAAAGAGTTTGGACTTTCTATGACCGTGGGAAGCCTTTGAAGAGCTTATCTGGGAGAGTGACATGATCAGATTTAGTTTTAGGGAACATCACTCTGGCTGAAGGATGGGACATAGATTCAAGGGAGAAAGACTGAAGGACAAAGTTCTTAATCCCCATTAATTTTAGTTACCTCTGTAAAATGCATAATTATTGTGAAAGTTAAAGACACTTATAGATCATCCAGCACAGTATCTGGCAGGAATTATGTATTTAATAAAGGTAACCATTTGTATTATTAATAGAAAGTACTGGCATTGCTGACTGACTGATGTTGAAACTGAGAGAAAATAAATTAGAGATACCTGAAAATTCCCAGTCTGAGAAATGACATATAAATTAGGAACCTGAAGAAAAAAGGAGGTGGTTGGGAGAGCACCGTTGAGTTTTCGTATGAATGCACAGAGTTTAGGTTTGGAAGGATACTGCCAAAGAAGATGTCAAGCAAGCAGAAGGAGAAGATGAGCTTTTTATTTTTTATGGTATTCACATACCATAAATTCATCCTTTCAAAGTGTACAGTTCACTGGTTTTTACTATTTTCAGAAAGTTCTGCAGCCATCACTACTATAATTTCAGAACATTTTCATCACACCCAAAAGAAACCTGGTATCCATTAGCAGTTACGCCCCATCCTCCCCTTTTTCCAACTCCTGGCAATCACTAATCTACTCTCTGTCTCTACGAATTTGCCTATTCTGGACATCCTATATAATAAAAGGGTAATGTGCAAATTGTCCCTTCCAACTGAGTTTTGACTAGGGTGCGGGGCCGGCCCACCAACTGCCCAGGGCCCCTCTCCCCAGCCAACCCTGCCCCCGATTGGACCCCCACCCCAATTGGGGTCGGGGCTGGCCAGACCCCACTCGTGCATGAATTTGTGCACCGAGCCTGTAGTTTCATATAAATGGAATCATATAATATGAGGCCTTTTGTGTATGTTTATTTTAGCATAGCATAATGTTTTTAAGGTTCCTCCACATTGTAGCATGTGTCAGTACTTCATTCCTTTTTATGGTTGAATAATATTCCACACATAGTATGGATATACCATATTTTATTTATCCATTCATCAGTTAATGGGCATTTGGGTTTTCACTTTTGGGCTATTATGACTAATGCTGCTATGAAC